AAATTTAAGGCAACCAAACCACCTCTGGGATAGGCTTAAACAAATAGGAAGTTTACGAGTGGCGCAGTGGTCTAAGGCACTGCATCGCAGTGCTAGCTGTGCCACTAGAGATCCTGGTTCGAATCCAGGCTCTGTCGTAGCCGGCCGTGACCGGGAGACCGATGGGGAGGCGTACAATTGGCCCAGCATCGTCCAGGATAGGGGAGGGAATGGGCGGCAGGGATGTAGCTCTGTTGGTAGAGCATGGCTTTTGCAACACCAGGGTTGCAACGCCTGTGCATGTTCCCTGCGTGACTGGTCTGTAATCCAGCCATGCCAAAAGTACTCCTAAATTCATTGTTTTATTTCATTGGTTTCATCGTTGTAGCTTTTTTGTTGTTGTTATTTCAAGTTCTCAAAGATATATGATTTAAAGGCTGTGTAAGTAAGAATTTTGTCAACAAATTTACCGAAATGACTATTATATGTAAATAGTTTATGATTAGTGAATTCCATAATGTAGTTATTTTGTTAGATACTTCTTCCTCTCAGCTGAAAATGTATTTTTCCAAAGCCATTTTAGCTGTCGCAATAGCTGTTTGGTCCGAACAGATTCACAAATAAATGGGAATTTGTTGCGCAATGCAGAAGTTGACTCTCTCCGAGGCACGTGTTGCTAGGCAACCCCCCGCACTTGCCGGGGCAGGCCTGCTCCCTCCGTGGCTAAAGCTAGTATGGGAAACGTCCTAACAAACGTTTGTGCTATGAAACTAAATAAATACTGCACTCTGACCCACAAAACGTCTTTGCTAGATTCATTATAGTGTTGTTAGACAAAGCAAGGAAAGTGAACTTCAGAAATTGATGTAATTTTATTGGAATTTGCAGCGGTTGTTGGTAGGTAATGAATTTGCTAGCTTTTGACAAGACTTACTGCATCTTAAAAAATATATACAGTTGAAGTCGCAAGTTTACATACACTTAGGTTGGAGTCATTAAAACTTGTTTTTCAACCACTCCACAAATTTCTTGTTAACAAACTATAGTTTTGGCAAGTCGGTTAGGACATCTACTTTGTGTATGAGAAGTAATTTTTCCAACAATTGTTTACAGACAGATTATTTCACTTATAATTCACTGCATCACAATTCCAGTGGGTCAGAAGTTTACATACACTAAGTTGACCGTGCCTTTAAACAGCTTGGAAAATTCCAGAAAATGATGTCATGGCTTTAGAAGCTTCTGATAGGCTAATTGACAACCTTTATAGTCAATTGGAGGTGTACCTTTGGATGTATTTCAAGGCCTACCTTCAAACTCAGTGCCTCTTTGCTTGACATCATGGGACAATCAAAAGAAATGAGCCAAGATCTCAGAAAAAAATGGTACACCTCCACAAGTCTGGTTCATCCTTGGGAGCAATTTCCAAACGCCTGAAGGTACCACGTTCATCTGTACAAACACCATGGGACCACGCAGCAGTCATACCACTCAGGAAGGAGACGCGTTCTGTCTCCTAGAGATGAACGTACTTTGGTGCGAAAAGTGCAAATCAATCCCAGAACAACAGCAAAAGACCTTGTGAAGATGCTGGAGGAAACGGGTACAAAAGTATCTATAGTCAGGGGTGCACATAACTTTTTCAGTGAGTTACTCAGGTGAGTACCAGCAGATGGTGTCTGGTACTCACCCCATATGTAGCGTGGTCTTAATAAGTGCAGTCTTCCTCACTGTCCTCCTCAGTGCCGCCACCACTGTCCTCTGCTTCAGCTTCCTGCATGGTAGATGATGAAGATGCACCTCCCTGTCCTTGGTTGAGCCTCAAATTAGCTGTCTCCATCCACAGGTCAACAGCAGGCTTTGGGTCAAATGTCTCTGTGGTCTGCTTTGACAGGTGAATGTGCATCAGTGCTGAGAGACGAGCATGTGACAGACGAGATCTGTACTTGGTTTTTATTATGTTGAGATGTGAGAATCCCCTCTCACAAGCTGCACTGCTTAAAGGCAGTGTAAGAGACAGCTTAACCACCTTGATGTTGGAGTAAGCATCTGGGTTACTTGTATTTACTATTTGGACCAAGTCATACACAGAAGAGGCTCCCAGGCGTTTTCCTGCCTGCTTTAAGCGCATCCATTCTGTCACAGTGGTATCTTTGTCAAGTTGCAAGGTGGCCTCATATTTCTTGAGAATGCTGCAAACTGTTGTGTTTCCAAAACTGTGGAGGTCTTGCATTTCCTGAGGCCATGTTGAAGGATCAAATACTAAGAAATGATCACATGACTTGAGGGAGTCATATCTGATTTCAAACTCTTCAATTAACCCCCTGAGTAAGTGTGTCTTGTCTCTGTCAGCATCAGCATTGGAAACAGTGTGTGCCCTGTGGCTTTCCAATGGCCACCATGAGTTCATCCTTACATTCTCCAATGGTCAGCTTTTCCTTCTGAAACCTAATGGATGTGGTGTTCAAAATGTTGCAAATGTCAAGCATGTTTGATAGAAAGCACTGAAAACGCTCTGTGCAGATTTGCTGCAAGTCACTGTTATCACTCGTAACCAGTTGCATTTTAATGGCTGGCAATAGTCTTGATATTTTTAACAGTGTTTCATGTCTCCATGCAGACCATCTGATATTATGAAACTTACTCAGTTTCACAAAGGAGATCCCATTTTCTTCACATAGCTTATTCAGTGCAGCAGTTTTTTTTGCTCCACCTTTTTGTAAATAAAACTGCAGCAGCTTGACCACAGAGCGATTAAATGTCTCACAGTAAGGAACGTTGCGATCAGCTGATTTCGCGCAATTCTCCAGTGTGTGTGCGGTGCACAGAATGTGCACAAGGGAGTCTCCAACCGCAGCAAGTTGCCTGATTTTTGGCACAACGCAGTTGTAGATACCTACGTTGACAGCAGCCCCATCTGTGCACACAGCGACCAACTTTGTTTGTCCAGTCATCCAAGCCTGTGTCCTGGAAAAGTCTCACAAGTCCGTCTGTTATGGCCTGCGCGGTTCGGTCAGCACCCAATTCAATCAGTCCAATAAAGTCCGAAGTAAACTCTCCGTTGCTGGACACAGACACAATGTAAACGATTTCCTGCTCAGTTTTTGTGATGTCCTCAGATCCATCAAAAAGCAGCCCCCAAAATTCAGCAGACTGCAACTTGGCTCGTAACTTCCCGCTGATGGTGTGAGCGATGCTCTGCATGATCCGTGTGCCCCCTTCACGTGAATGATATGCACCTCCGACATTTACTCCTAGCCGCTTCAGTAAAGGAACATCCTCAGAATAGGAAGACATGGGACGTGCGTGTTTAGCTTTATGGAAGGCGAGGAGAAAAATATTAAACAGAGCTTGCCGCTGTTCTTCATTCAGCTTGTCTCGCCATCTGGCAAGTGGGCGACTGGACATTTTTTCTCGGCTAGCTTGCTTAGCAATGCCTTGCGCCACATTCGTGTGCTCCTTGCTCTTTTCATGTTTGTCAAATAAAGGATGGTTGAAATTCTTTGAGCCTTTATAAAATGCACCTGTTTTGTCTGCTAGATGTGGATTTTCTTAAAAAAGTATTTTCTTCGGCTCTGGCTCCAGTTGGCGTTTCTTTGTAGGTGGCGAAACGCCAAAGAAGCTGCTTAATGTCTGTTGCTTTTTGGACATCCCTGACAGTAGTTGACAAGCAACATGTCATGTGTAAGGTTAGATGAGAAGATCGGTGAAGTACGCAAAGGCGCATAGTAACACAAGTGGCATTACGCATTCCTGATTTTTGTTGCGCTTGCGTACCAGTTATGTGCACCCCTGTCTATAGTATCTATCTTCACAGTAAAACGAGTCCTATATCGACACAACCTGAAAGGCCGCTCAGCAAGGAAGAAGCCACTGCTCCAAAACCGCCATAAAAAAGCCAGACTACGGTTTGCAACTGCACATGGGGACAAAGATCGTACTATTTGGAGAAATGTCCTCTGGTCTGATGAAACAACAATAGAACTGTTTGGCCATAATGACCATCTTTATGTTGGGAGGAAAAAGGTGCATGCTTGCAAGCCGAAGAACACCATCCCAGCCGTGAAGCACGGGGGTGGCAGCATCATGCTGTGGGGGTGCTTTGCTGCAGGAGGGACTGGTGCACTTCACAAAATAGAAGGAAAATTAAGTGGATATATTGAAGCAACATCTCAAGACATCAGTCAGGAAGTTAAAGCTTGGTCGCAAATGGGTCTTCCAAATGGACAATGACGCCAAGCATACTTCCAAAGTTGTGGAAAAATGGCTTAAGGATAACAAAGTCAAGGTATTGGAGTGGCCATCACAAAGCCCTGACCTCAATCCTATAGAACATTTGTGGGCAGAACTGAAAAAGCATGTGCGAGCAAGGAGGCCGACAAACCTGACTCAGTTACACCAGCTCTGTCAGGAGGAATGGGCCAAAATTCACCCAACTTATTGTGGGAAGATTGTGGAAGGCTACCTGAAACGTTTGACCCAAGTTAAACAATTTAAAGGCAATGCTACCAAATACTAATTGAGTGTATGTAAACTTCTGACCCACTGGGAATGTGATGAAAGAAATAAAAGCTGAAATAAATCACTCTCTACTATTATTCTGACATTTCACATTCTTAAAATAAAGTGGTGATCCTAACTGATCTAAGACAGGGAATTTTTACTAGGATTAAATGTCAGGAATTGTGAAAAACTGAGTTTAAATGTATTTGGCTAAGGTGTGTGTAAACTTCCGACTTCAACTGTAGGTTAATTATAATTTCTACAAACTTTGCCTGGATTTAGTCATTTAAGTTCACACTGAAAGCGTTTTTCCATCCCCGATTTTTTGGGGGGGGTGTTTGGCGGTAACAATTTAGCAATGTGCTGCTGCTAAATGAACACAGGGGAAACACTGCGATTTCAGTAAAAGTGTGTCTTGAAGGACTCTAACCCTATCATAACAAGCTCTTAAATGATGACTACAATAACACTGTACAGTACACACAGCAACATACAGTACACACGTCAAGTCTCTTACCTGCTCCACTGTTCATCCTCATGTTCCTAGCGTTCATATCAGAATCTGACTCCTTGGATATCTGGATATCATAATCATCTTCGAGGTAAAAAACAACAAACAGAGTGACAGTCAACTAACAGTGTAATAACAAATGAAAGACTATGAAGTATTACTTCAACAAGTATGTAAAATAAGGGAAAAGCTGTTGTTTATCAGTAAAGATGTTGCTTACTGTTATTGCTGATGGTTGATGTTTGGTAGTTGCTCATGGTTTCGTTACCGCTGTCGGAGGTTCTCCTGTGTGACCTTTTGTACTGAGGTCTCTTCTTGCTCTTCCTAGTGCTGATCCTGATCAAATAAAATAGAATAGATTAAAATAGTATATCAACTTTATTGTCCATTTTACAAAAGGAAATGTATTGATTTGCTGTCACATTCCCAACCGCTTGCATGCACACACACACCCATTGTGCCCTTGATCAAGGCAGTTAAACCCTACCAGCAAACGGCAGTGAATGGTAGCTACCTGATGATGCCCTTGACCAGTCGACATTCTGCGTCCTGCTCATCAAGCTGATGCTCCTCAGCCAGGACACTGATCAGCTGGCTGATCTCACTGGTCTTCTTCAGGAACACAGAGTCCGAGGTGCAGTGGGCCAGCTCCTCAATCTGGTACTCAGAGTACAGCTCCAGAAGCTTCTGGGTGATCAGAGAGTCCACGTCACCCATGCTCAGATCACCCATATCCCCCTCGTACCAGGAGTAGGACGGAGGGCTGTACCGTCTCCCTCCTCCGCCATTGTGTAACGGAGGCCTGGTAATGACCACCGGCTCCTCCATTCTAGGAATGTCCACTTTGACCCCTCTGATGTAGATGTCCTCCGACCAATCTGAGCCACTACCCCTGCCCTCCTTCCTGGGTCGGGGATCGTTGGTCCCAGGGTGGCTCTGGAGACCCTGGAGGCTGACCTTCTGATCGTCGTCTGGGGACATCCCTCTGGGACTGGAGGCCAGGCAGGGGGCCAGGATGGTGCTCAGACACACCCTGTAGAGTCCACAAGTCAGCACGCTGCACACCCATTTCTTACAGCTGCCTGGGGAGGAGGATGCACAGGGACCACACCCTTGAACCCCTGGAGGAGAGTCTGCTGATCTGGGGATGAAGCCGATGGTCTCCTCAGCCTCCCTGCTCTGCGCGTCCCTGCAGTGTGCCTTGTGGTGGGTCCCCTTGGGCCCCTGGTGCTCCTGGGGCCTCTCCTCCACCGGGTCCACAGATCGCTCCTCATAGCAGGACTCCTGGCTGGTGCTGCTACCCCGGGAAAGGTAATGGTTGGGTCCCACAGAGACGAGGCCATCCTGGCCCCCTGGCTCTGACCTGGGTCTGGGGCTCCCTGTGATGCTGCTGGGCATGGTGGCTCACTAGAGCCAGGGCCTGGGAAAGAAGAGGACAGGGAGTGTGGTGGGGGAAAGGGCAATGCATTATGTTAATGTAGGAAATATGTATGTTATTTAAAGAACATTGCTTAACCCTGTCATAATAATCAGCGGCTTCAAATAGACAGACAAAGTAGACGTGAATCAATAGACAATACTACATAGACATTAAGTCTATGCCTGGCTATATGACATGTCAAATGTATGCTGCAGGCCCATGGCATGGAAAACCAAACCAACTTTAAATATTAGTCACCTGAGGCTGCAACCCCTTCCAAACCAACCAACAATATCAATCACCACATATACCTTAGTGCCAAGCAGTTCCCCAACCTGTTCTGTAGGGCTCAAATTAGTTGTTTTAAAATCAATGAAACACAAGGTAAATACAAAAACTGCCCAAACTGGTGCACGTTTGTGTTCTAGCTCAGCATTAACACACTTGATTAAACTAAATCCAAGGGCTTGGTGATTAGATGAGAAATTGATTCAGGTGTGTTATTGCTGTGGTAGGGAAAAAATGTGCAGCCTGGGTCTCCAGCACCAGGAGAAGCCCTAAGGGGTATTCTAAAAAGCTGAATCAATGAGTTAGCCAGCTAACTTGCCTAAATATTCTTTAAAAAATAAAAGTTAAGATAAGCTTGAAATGGGCATGGTCTAACTGACTAAAGAACCAAAAACACATCTAAGTTTAGCTTTCTTAATGAACCAGAAAATCTAGTTATTTCTGGTTGTTTATTTAAGTTAGCTGGGGTTGTGATTAAAACAATGTTATGATCAGATGTTTGATGAAATTCGGGCCAGGCCTACTTCATATAATGAAAGGTTACTACTGTAGTTTGCTGACATGCAGCACGGCAAAACTGCTTGAAATGGACGACGACCTTTTCAGTCTATCTACAGCCTTCTGTCAAAATAAGTTACTATAATTGTCAAGGTGCCACTTCCAAAATACATATCTAATCAAGTATCGTGTTTCGTTCCATCTGTAATGCATTGTTTAAAATAAAGTTACACCTGGGTTTATTCAATTGGCTGTTTTAGTCTGAACACATGGGAACGTTATGTTTTACTCACGGCATAGGAAAGGTGATCGCGGTTTCCTTCCGAAAGGTTATATTCCTCAAAGAGCAAGAGTTTACATTTTTATTTTACCTTGTTCGTAAATTGAATTGCCCACAAAACAGATGCGGTATAGTTTCGTTTCCCTAATGCTTCCTAGAACAGTGTTTCACCTGCGAGACAAGATAAACCAACAATAAACTCAAACAGAGAGGAAGAGGCGAAGCGAGAGTGTTTACTCCGACCAAAATCTGTCACCGCAGTAAATAACTTTAGGCTACTTTAAATATTCAGAGTTTGCTCGCCGATAGCTGTCCGACGGAAGGTACTAGGGGTGACATATGTAGAATCAGATGACGTTAGAGAGCAAAATACACCCTTTGTTTTTACCGATAGTCGAACTCTGCCCTTAACAGAGCCGAAAATAAGGCAATATTCGGTTCTCTGGCGCTCAGGTGGTTTAGGGACCGTCGTAAAAGTTGTAAGCAAAATAATAAATAATAAAAAAATATAAATATAAAATAAATATGTTTTTGCATTTCCGTTCAGGAGGGTTAGCTCTATGAAGATTACATACACTGCATACGGCCTCCAGTTGCTGAAGAGCCCAACATTTTTATTAGTTACTTCAAACTTCTAAGTGTGCTATATTTGACCCATTTACGAGGATACTTTTCAAAAGCTTCCTATCCAGGGAAATGGAGATGTAAAACCAGATATTGTAGTCCCTGACCCCCCTCATCCATGCTAAATTCATTAGAATTCCAGTTCACCACCATCTTGTGGTAGGTCTAACTTTCAATACCTTCCTATCTATATGAGCTACAGATCTACAGACAAGGGCAGTGGGTTCCTTCACCTCTTATCAAAGCTACACCTTTTTATTCCTCCTCTGATTCTCTACAAATATTTCTTATTACAGCTTTAGATATTAATTCACGTACAGATCTAATTTTCAATAACTTTCTATCCACATGACATGTACATCTAAAACCACTTGAGTTTAGGTCCCTTGTCCATAGTACACCCATTAGAATTGCCATTTTATATTGCATTGATTTTATAAAAATATTTCCTGTGATAGCTCAAATTGACAGTGAGCTACAGGTTAACAGACAAGTGTGGTTTGTTCCTTGACCTCCCTTATTACTTGTTAAACATGTTAAAATCTACTTTTCTGAGCAGTTGTATTAGTGTAAAATAATATCCCAATTATTTTGGAGCATACAATATAGCTCAGTATTTGATTTATTTTTTAGTATTTTTTGCTTTATAAAATGGTGCCAAATATTTGAGGTGACTATGTTAAATAATGTACAATATTGGAAAGTATATTCAGTGTTTCAAAACCATCTGGATATAAAGCTATAGAAAAGTAGCTCTGTATGTGAATTAGTAACCAAAGCAGTAATAGTAAAAATATTTCCAAGAGGACCAAGTGGAGGAATAAAAATAAAAATAATAATTATTGTGTACCTTTCATAAGAAAGGTAATGAAACTTAGATCTATCACAGGAAATATTTAAGTTAAATCAGTGCAATGAAAAATGACAATTATCATGGGTGTAGTATAGAGGGAGGTCAGTGACCTAACATCAAGTGGTTTTGTCATTTGGACTGGAATCTATAGAAAATGTGATATGAACGTGAATTAATAGCCACAGCTGTAATAGGATAAATATCTGTAGAATATCAAAGGGGAGGAATTTTGAAAAATATATAGTTTTTACCTTTGATAAGAGAAATCAAGGAACCCACCGCACTGGTCTGTAGATCTGTACCTCATATGGACAGTGAGCTATTGAAATGTAGACCTATCACAGGAAATAGTAATGTAAAATCAGTTAAATGAAAATGGGTGTACTATGGACAAGGGAGGCCAAAGACTGGCTCCTCTCTCTCCACTGGGATTCTCTGCCTCTGACCCTATAATGGGGGCTGAGTCACTGGTTTACTAGTGCTCTCCCATGCCGTCCCTAGGAGGGGGGCGTGCCCGTTGTCCCGTTTTCGCTATACTCAACGTGATCTTCCTGTCTGGTTTTGCGCCCCCTCGATCTCGTGCGGTGGGATAGATCTCAGCCTTGTCTCAGGGTAGTAAATTGATGGTCTGTTGATATCCTTCTAGTGGTGTGGGGGCTGTGCTTTGGCAAAGTGGGTATTGTCGGACGGGGCCACAGTGTCCCCCGACCCCCCGTCTCCAGTATCTATGCTGCAATAGTCTATGTGCCAGGGGGCTAGGGTCAGTCTGTCCTATCTGGTGTCCTGTGTGATCTTAAGTATGCTTCCTCTAATTCTCCTCCCCTCCTGCAGGACCTGAGCCCTAGGACCATGCTTCAGGATTACCTGGCCTGACGACTCCTGGCTGTTCCGGTCCTCAGTCCACCTGGTCGTGCTGCTGATACAGTTTCTGCTGTTCTGCCTGCGTCTATGGAACCCTGAACTGTCTAGCGGACGTGCTACCCCGTCCCGGGAACTGCTGTTTTTCACCCTCACCTGCGGTCTCGACCTTTGAATGCTCGGCTATGAAAAGCCAACTGACATTTACTCCTGAGGTGCTGACCTGTTGCACCCTTTACAACCACTGTGATTATTATTTGACCCTGCTGGTCATCTATGAATGTTTGAACATCTTGAAGAACGATCTGGCCTTAATGGCCATGTACTCTTATAATCTCCCCCCGGCACAGCCAGAAGAGGCCACCCCTCAGAGCCTGGTTCCTCTCTAGGTTTCTTCCTAGGTTCCTGACTTTCTAGGGAGTTTTTCCTAGCCACCATGCTTCTACATCTGCATTGCTTGCTCTTTGGGGTTTTAGGCTGGATTCTGTAAAAGCACTGTGACATCTGCTAAAAAAGGGCTTTATAAATACATTTGGTTTGATGTGGTTTTAACAAAACATAAGGAACACCTGCTGTTTCCATTATATAGACTGACCAGGTGAATCCAGGTGAAAGCTATGATCCCTTAAAAATCAGTGTAGATGAAGGGGAGGAGCCAGGTTAAATAAGTATTTTTAAGCCTTGAGACAATTGAGACATGGATTGTGTATGTGTGCCATTCAGAGGGTGAATGGGCAAGACAAAATATTTAAGTGCCTTTAAACAGGGTATGGTAGTAGGTGCCAAGCGCACCTGTTTGAGTATGTCAAGAACTGCAACACTGCCGGGTTTTTCACACTCAACAGTTTCCCCATGTGTATCAAGAATGGTCCACCACCCAAAGGACATCCAGCAAACTGTGGGAAGCATTGGAAACATGGGCCAGCATCCATGTGAAACGCTTGACACCTTGTAGACTCCATGCCCCGACGAATTGAGGCTGTTCTGGGGGCAAAAGGAGGTGCAATTCAATATTAGGAAGGTGTTCCTAATGTTTTGTACACTAAGTGTATATGTCAGATAAAATGTCATGACAGGCCTGATGGAAACAGCAAATGTGTATAAACTTTCCAAAATGTTGACAAAACACGCCTGACAATGTGGGATCTTTTTGTGTTGGTAGAATTAATAATGCGATAAATAGTGGTGGAAACGCAAATATTTATATAATAACAGTCATATCGAAGTAAAGTTGGAGTCACGCGATGATATGCTTTGGGGTCCTCCCACTAAGACACAGGAAAGTGTGCAGTTTATTAAACTACAGATGAAATAGGGCCCAAGTTATGATGAACTTCACAGGGTGGTGAAAGTGCACAGTTGATGAGCTTGATGCTTCTTTCCAATAAATATTGAGGTGACATGATGATCGATGCTTGGCTGCCATCTGACAAATACAAATAACCTTACTCTTTTGTCCATAACAACCTCATCATGTTGGCCAGCCTACCCACACTGTATCTGCAAGCTGTTGGCTAGAGCGCGCATGCCAAAACCATAATGGCCACATTAGCTATATAAACGCAACATTACATTTA